CAAGCAGGCCGACAAAGAAGAGCTTTGCTCGTCAGAGCAGTACAAACAGGCCGACAAAGAAGAGCTTGTCAGAGCAGTGCAAGCAGGCCGACAAAGAAGAGCTTGTCAGAGCAGTACAAGCAGGCCGACAACGAAGAGCTCTGCCAGTTTTTTTGCATCACCCCTTTGACGCCCTCGTTTTGGCATGCCACCTTCCAAGCCGCCCCGCCACGAAGAACCCTGCAACGATTGGCAAACACTACAGGGGCTGTCTTGCATGACCGGAACCAAGGCCATGGCTACGCGAACGATGAGGATGTTCGTGCAGAAATCAAGTGCATCCGAACCTGGTCGAAAGGCCTGCTGCCGAAAGCGGAGGATCCGCCGCGGGATGAAAGATATCCCGTGGAAGCCAGGGCGCCGCAGCGCCGTGACTTTCAAGGTGCGTAAGAATTTCATGACTTGCTCAACCACCGCTTGCAGGGTCTATTGTAGTGGCGCCTGGCAGGCAGTGCGGGCCCTTATAGAAGCCGGAGAAGAGACAATGCCTTGCGAAAGGCTCTGAGCAAGCTTCAGTAGTTTGCTGCCCCAGGAAAGCAGGCTGATGTCTAGGCCTTGGTGGGACTTGTTGAATTCACTGGGCTACCTTCGTCTGAACTATGCACACTTCAACCGAAGTCGCTACTCCACTTGATGTGAAGCGGATCCTTGATGGCTGCTAACCTGGACGACCTGATCAGTATGACACAGCTGCTGAGGAAGGACTCCCTCGTCCATCGCCCTGAAGTGCTTACTGCTCTCAAGCAACCTTTCGAAACGTCTACGTAACAGTGTGCCCCTCCGTGTTCCAAGCTTGTGCAGGCAGTTATGCATCTCCGCGCGGAGAAACGGGCCGAAAAAATGCTCATCCGTGCACTGCTCTGCTACTATCCTGCTGCACTTGTGCTAAAGCAGCGCTCGTGCTAAACTTGCCATCCTTGGCGCCCAATCATGAGAGTCACAACATGTGCAATTCTGAGCTGCGGGCAGCGTGAGGGTTTGTCAGGGTGCTATGCTGGTCAACAAGTAGGGGGGCAAAGAGATGGCACGAGTTTGCTGGCCTCTCTACAAGCCCTTTTCCCCTTGCCCGCGCTCGCCTTGCAGGCAGACAGCTCTCCGTCTTCCGCGGGTGGCCAGGCCAAGTTCAGCAGCTAGAATGTGAAGTGGCAGTCCTGTTTCTGATTGCGTGGTAGAACGGCTTGCTAGCCCGTGCTGTGCAGCCGCCTGAAGCATGTCATCAGATCTTTGTGTAAAATCATCCATCAAGCTTCTCACTCTGACCCAGACAGCACGCCGGGCATATTTCTAGGAGCTAGCTGCTAACACCACGTTGCGCCAGGCGCAGGTGGCACAGCTGCAGATCGCGCAGATGCCGCAAAAAGCGCAGACGGCGCGACCGCCGAAGATTAGAAACGGCGCAGATGGCACAAGCGGGCGCAGCGGGCGCAGGCGGCGCGGGCAGCGCAGCTGCAGGTGAGAGGGTGGTGCTGGCACGAATGGCAAATATGACGCAAGCCTGCACAAGTGGCACAAAAGGTGGCGTTCAAATGACCAAAATAGCGGAGGTGGCGCAGGCATGGCGCAGGCGGCGCAGCTGGGGCAGGTGGCGAACATTGCCAACTGGCGCAGCTGACGGCGCAGCAGGTGGCGCAGCATGGCGCAGGTGGAGCAGGTGGCGCGCAGGTGGTCTAGGTGGTGCAACTGGCGCAACTGGCGCGGGGTTTTTATGTTAGGGGGAGGGGATTAGCCCTTGTAAGAAAAATACGTCAATAACAGGATCTTGGCTTCCGGGGGGTGCAGATTCTCCGTACTTAGCTGGATGCAAACTCAGAACCCCACGCCTAAACGGTAGGATTGCTTTAGGAAGGGCTGTGTTTCAACACTTGTTTAGGATCGCAATCGCAGGCTTTTGTTTTCCACCGAATGCCAGTCCCATCTTATGTCAGTTGTATGTTTGGATACCTTTCCGGCTATATTGTAAGAGCCATATACGGGAATTATGAAGGGTAAAACATTGATATTGCTGAAGCTGCAAGGCTTGCGGACGGTTTCCAATACAAAAGCTTATCTGAAAATTATCTCATACACAAAGAATAAAAGGTCTCAGTCCTTTTAACCGGGTAGCCGAAAATAGTGAACGTGCCAATAGAGGCTCAAATGCACTTCCGATGTGTCTCAAACTGTTTCGAGCAGAGTGCAGCCTTCCGTTCTTGCAGTGCGTGCTTGAATGTTTATAATTTGGTTCATTCTGGATGAGGCTGGTTCTAAACTACCATGGGAGATGGGTTGCTAAGGAGGCGACTTTGCAGACGCCCTTCATATTCCTCATCTTGAGTTTGTTTGAATTCAACCCCAAATGGGGCATGACCATGAGCAGACCTCAGGATTCAGGAGCCGCAATGGCCTGTTTCAAATTGCAATACTTAGTTAGGACTTGCCCTGAAACCGGCTCGGTAGCTGAAGTCCTGACACCCCCTGGGCCACCTGGAAGCTTGAGAGACTTGTACATGACCCTACACTTTGAACCCTGAACTCCTAAACCCTACAGCCGCCATTGAGCCAGATAGCCCTGCAGGCAGGAACCTCCTTTTCGGCTGAGTTTGCTGCTGGGTTCCTCCTGCGTGTTTGCAGGGAATGCTAGCATAGAAGCCTTAATAAGTTCCAACATTAGTGTCTTACCTTCCTTGTAGAATTCTAGTATGGTGTATCCCAAACAGACCTTATGCTTGTGTTGGTAATTTTCAGGCCCTTGTAGTACCCAAAATCCTGTTTTCAAGATCCTTACAACTTTGTGTTTTGATGTTGATGGTCGGAGTTGATGCGCCGTGCTCCGAGGAGATGTTTCAGCTTCTGCATGTGTTCAGCAAGCGTCTGTGGTCGTCGTGCAGTTGGGTTTGGAAGTTTAGGGTTAGCCATGCCTGCTTGAGAGCAAGTTGTTTGTCTTGTTTATCAGTCATCAGCCCGTTGCCCACATTTTCCACTAACCTTACTGGTGGTTAGTGGGGAATAAGGAAATGTAATCCCTATATTATCCCTATATAATGTATTCCCTCATTCCCGACTAACCACCAGTAAGTGGCAGAGGCAAGGGCAGATGCACGCCATATAGAATGTACTCGTAACCCCAGTCATGTTGCCTGTACCTAGTAATGAAGGCAGTACAATCACTAAGCTGTAGGTATCTTGCCAATTTTGATGGCTGTCTGAGGACACATGTTCAGCAATGGGCCTGGCAGGAAACACAAAACTATTGGCCCTAGATCGGTGAGGTGAACTCATGGCATTCACAACGTTTCGCAACCTGCTGTGTTGTTCATCAAAGCCCAGTATAACCCCAAACCCTACAGCCTCTGTGGTGCGTAAAGGCCCAGTAAGAGAGGCAAGTCACACAGGGATTTTTGTGCTGTGATGGCAGAGGCCTTCACAGCTTAGATGAATCTCGCAACGCTGCTTTGTTGGGCCTTTACCTTCGTGTGCCGCAAGCGCTAGGCTCCACGGCAAGTAATCAAGCTGACTCATAGTCTTCTCAGCTGACACCATGGCTGCCTTCGTGATCCCCGCATCCGTCTCGGCCGACTCCTTCGTGGCCGCCCCGTCCAGCCGACACCTCCGCGCCTCAGCGCCCACGGTGCAGGCAGCCTCCGCCCCGAGCACCGGGTCCGCTGGGTCCGCCTTGGCGGCCGTTGCGCTGGCGGGTGCCGTGGCCGTGGGCGCTGCAGGAGCGCGCCGGGCGCGCCGGGCCCAGCGGGTGGCAGTGCGCGCGGAGAACCCGCGGGCGGACAAGCTGAGAACCATGGAGAAGACGGTGCAGGCGGGAGGTTCCGAAAACTCAGAAGTTTTTTCTCCTCAAATTCGGCGCCCTAACGCGAGGTCTCGCCCTCCATCCTCTCCGCGGACTTCGCCAACTTGGGCCAGGAGGTTGGCGATGTGCTGAAGGCCTGCGTGCTACCATTATTGTTTTCATTCTCACGGCGATTTCTATTGTTGTTCTGATTATAATGACTGTATGAAGGCTTTAAGTGGAAAGAGTGCCTCTGATGACCCAGCTTCCAGGCGTTGAATGCTCAGCTTCAACTCTGCACATGTTCACCTTTGGGCGGACCTCACCTAAGTTAGGTTAACATTACGAGGAACGCACATGGCTTGCTTAGTATCCATACTACGGTAACTGAGTTGTTGTTCTCTAAGCCCTAAACCCTAAACTCCTAAACCCTATTCATTGACAGCAACCCGGCTTTGCACTTCTTGTTTAATTCTCGACGACATTACGTGAGGCGAGGCCCCCACGACATCTCCAATCTTGATTAAAAGAGTAATAAGGAGTGGTAATAACATCAACATTACAAGTACACTGAAAAGTTAGTAGCAGGAGCAACAGTATGATGACTAACAGTATTGTTAACAACATTTTTGAGTTTTTTGGTGAGTTCAGGACCTTCTGAGATGAACGTGTAAGCACCCAACCCTCTGGTGGTTCTAAGGCAGAGTCACACAAGAGCGGCTCTGCGAGCTGTGTGGGTACAACACGGAAAGCAGACTTGCCATATCCCACATGTGACAATATGGCAGTTTCCCAAAACAAGGGTACCTAAACATAGACCCCCAAATACTATAAACCTTAGTTTAGGGATCCCTACAAAGTACCCCTAATTTTGGAAAGCCGTATATCGTTTAGTGTCGGCCTGATTTTTCATTGCATTTTCAGGTCTTGAGGCCAGGATCTGGTCAGGAGTATCTGTATGGTGCCCCAAGCTTGACACATTGCCTCGAAAATGGAACATGAACTTGTCTGAGACATCGCTGACTATCGCTTTTTTGTTCTTTTGTAAGTACCAAAAAGCACCTGAAGCCACGTTTTTTGATGGTATTTAACGAAGACCCACTTCCTTCGGTGGAGCTCAGCAGGCGGGTGCTGACTGGGTGCACGTGGATGTCATGGATGGCCGCTTCGTCCCCAACATCACCATCGGCCCGGGCGTGGTCTCGGCGCTGAGGAGAGGGCTCCGAGCAAATAGCCGAAGGTAGGTAACGTTGATATGGTAGTTTCCAAAATAGGGCGGGACCCTAATATAGGCCCCAAAATACTACAGTCCTTATTATAGGGACCCCCAAAATGGTACCCCTAATTTTGGGAACCCCCCATATACTTTGGAGTCAGAACCCCAGGGAGGATTGCCGAGCAAATAGCCCAAAGTAGGTAACGTTGATATACTTTGGAGTTCGAATTCCAGGGGAGTATCGGGGCTAGGGCTGTTTTGGGTTGGTCTTGAGGCTTGAGCCTTTGGGTTTCAAATCCGACCTTTGGGAAGGTTCGGTGACTTGTTTGTCTGGCCAATGTGTTTGCAGTCAGGCTCTAACTCTATCTCGCCTGCTTTTGATGAAGAGCATGTACCAAGGGGGTTTGAGGGGCCATAACTCTTACTGCCTAATGTGGTATGAAACCCCAAGCCCTAAAGAGTGCTGTTCTTTGGGAAGGAAAGCGCACCCGGAGTCAATCCTTGACTGCCACTTGATGAGCTTCTGCTGAACTTCAGAGTTCAAGATTTGGAGTTTCGGGTTAGAGGTTTAGAGTTTAAGCTTTGGAGTTCAGGGTTTGAGGTTTAGAGTTCAAGATTTGGAGTTTGGGTTTTGTGGGTTTAGGGTTTAGGATTTGGAGTATCGGGCCTGGGGTTTACCATTAAGGGCTAGGCATTTGGAGTTTAGGGCTTCGGGCGTAGGTCAGCCCTAAACCCTAAACCCCTAAACCCTAGTTGAGAATTCGGATCTCAAGGCTCAGGGTCTGAGAGTTCCAGGGAGGGGCTTAGGGTTTAGGGGTATAGGGGTCCAGGGTTATAGGGGTTTAGGGTTGTAGGGGTTTAGGGTTTTAGGAGTTTAGGGTTCGGGGTTTTAGGGGTTTGAGGGTTTAGGGGTTTAGGGTTTAGGGTATAGGATTGGCAGATTTGAGGGCTTTCTTTTGCCGAATTTCCCCCGGTGCCGGAAATAGTCACAAGTCGAGCCCCTGAGGAGGACCCCCCACCATGTAATAGTGGTATAGTGGGAATATAGTAATGGTATAGGCTTTTGGGTTCAGGATTCAGGGTTTAGGGTTTAATGTTTAGGCCTATAATAGGAATGTAAGAGGGCACTAATCCAATCACTATCATCCCTTTTTATAGTCACTATTACAGGGTAGGGGGCCCACCTAACCTAAACCTGAAACCTTTAACCCAGGGTGTCCTCTCAAGCCATGGGTGAAGCACGCAGGTCAAATGCCTAAACCCTAAACCCTAAACCCTAAGTCCTAAACCCTAACCCCTAAACCCTAAACCCTGAACCCTGCACCCTAATCCCTAACCCCTAAACCCTAAGCCCTAAACCCTAAACCCTAAAGGTATTTTTTTGGTGGATCCCTGGGAGGTGCTAGCTTTGAGTTTGGAATATCTGGGGCTTAGGCTTTAGAATGTAGGGTTTAGGGTTTTAGGGTTTGTAGGGCTTCAGGTTAGGCTTTAGAATGTAGGATTTAGTTTTTTTTTTTAATAGGGTTTCTAGGGCTTCAGGGTGTTTGTGTTTTTTGGGTGGTTTTTGAGGTTCAGGGTTCTGGGTACGGGGCCTCTTTCTTTCTCCGGGGTCTTCTTCCCTGGCGGAGGGTGTATTGGTATTCTAAGAAGCTGCGCGGCGTATACAGCTATGCAATGACACTGCATCGTAGCAGAAGACAGTTCTGATCCTTGTATTGACCCTAACCCCTTGATCCCAAACCCAGTACACAACGCTAAATACCAGTCTCACCCAAAATCCTTCAACCTTAAACCCTGAGACCCTAAAAACTACTCAGCCCTTAAAGTCCTCCACTCCCAAACCCCCTGACCTCAAACTCCAAGCTAAACTCCAAGCTCTTGAACCCCAAGCTCTCAGCTATTCAAACCTAAGTCCTTTGTGGTAGCTTGCATCTTCGCTCCCCTTTCGCTGCACCTTTAACACACCCCGCCCTCCCGAGCACACCCCCCCAGCAAAGCAACCCTAGATACCAAACTCTTCCTTCAACCATTCAGCCCTTCAACCCTAAACCCTCAAACCCCGAAACCCTGAAACCCTCAAAGCCTAAAAGCCTGAAACTCAGACCCCTGAAGCCCTAACCCCCCCCCTAAGCCTACACCCCTAAACCCCCTAAACTCTAAACCCTTAAATCTCCCCCAACCATCTAAACCCTAAACCCTGAACCCTAAAACCTAAACCCTAAACCCTGAACCCTAAACCCTAAACCCTAAACCCTAAACATCCCCTTAACCTCTCCCCCTAGGATTGTGGAGCCAGAACAGCGAGTCGAAGACTTCGCCAAGGCTGGGGCAGACATCATCTCGGTCCACTGTGAGGCCTGCTGGGGGGGGGGGGGCATTTAGGGTTTAGGGTTTAGGCTGGGAAAATGGGGGGGAAATGTCTGGGGGTGAGGTTTAGGGTTCAGGGTTGGGTTTTGATTTGGTGTTCGGGGTTTAGGGTTTAGGTTTCATGGCTTAGGTTTCTCGAGGTTCTTGGAAGCAGGAGCAAGAGAACAGAGGTGTACGCTTGCTTGCCCAGCAGTTCTGGAAACTCACAGCCAGAATGTGACTGGGCGCTTCCTGACAAGTAGACCTTGTCCACACTTTGCGAAGGAGGGACAGACGCCCATTCCACATACTTGTGCATTTGCAAGCCTGATGAGGGGGCTCCAGTGATAAGATCAGGAGGACCGTCGTTAGGATTTGTATTCTGGGTGTAGGGTTTAGGTCTGAGGTTTTGAGGGTTTAGGGCTTAGAATGTAGGCTTTCAGGACCTAGGGGCTTCATTGTCATAATGAGATGGGAGTCTCGCACCAAGAGGCCCTTTCTGGGTTCGTTTCGGGATTGTTTTGAGGAGCAAATGCATGATATTGGCGTTTTGGGATTTAACGTGGGGGGCTGAGGCTGAGGATATAGCCGCTGTGTAGCGTATAGGAAAAGTAACATTGCTAAACACATTCGTAAATGTGAGAGCAAGCATAGCCGTACGTAGGACGACCAGTATTCGTGACAATACTAGAAGCATTCGTGGTACTGATGCTAGTAAGGGTTTAGGACTCCGAGTGTAGAATTCACGATTCTGATGATAAGAACCAAATGATTGGTTTGAGTTGGGGTTAGGGTCCAGGGCTCTGAGGTTTACAGCTTAGGCTTCGAGATTGAGACATTCTTCACTATGTGAGCCCTAGTCTAAAACCCCCAACGGGGGGCTACATAGGGGATTATATAGATGACTATTCTAAATACCTTGAAGGTTTCGATGCCTCAGCAGGCTTTATGATGACCTGTCTGTTAAGGGTTTAGGGTTTAGGTTTTAGGGTTTAGGGTGTAGAAGTCGCGACAGATCGTGTTACAAGGATGCATAGGGTCTGATTTTCCAGGAAGAAGAATGAGTTGGATGTAAGCGTGTGGATGGGTTGAAATCAGCCTCACTACAACTACCACTACCACCACCGCTAGAACCAAACCACTCCTATCACCACTACCACGGACCACTGGCTACCGACCATTACTACTAAACCGTAAACCCTAAACCCTAAACCCTAAACCCTGAACCCTAAACCCTGAACCCTAAACTCTAAACCATTAACCCCAAACTCTGAACCCTAAACCCTAAACCCATTCCAAGTGACACTCTTGATGTCCACCGCTGACTCACAGATTTGAGGGAGTTGGCAAGGCCGATGTGCCCGCTTCGTAAGGAGCTTTGACTGCTGACTGCTGGCAGCAGGTTAAAAGGGGCGCTTACAAAAGAAAAAGAACTCTAAACCCTAAACCTCGTCATTGCGACCCGCATTTGATTGGCAGAGGCCGCCTCGACCATTCATCTTCACCGCACGCTGAATCAGATCAAGAGCCGGGGGCCCTGGCTGTTCAGGAGCTTGGAATTTGGGCACCTACTGTAAAGTATAAGGGTTTATATTGGAATAATGGAAAAGAAAATGGAAACTACTATATTATGATAGGGTTAAGGGGCCTAAATGATTACCAATATTATCCCCAATAATGGAGAATCAAATTGAAAAGAACATGGAACATGAAATGGAAACTGTGTTTATATAGGGGATCCTAGGGATTAGGGTTTAGGGTTTAGGTTCAGGGTTTATTGCGGGGTTCAGGGCTTTAGGAATTTTTCCTTCTTGGCTGTTGGCAGGGAACAAGGGAATATAGGATGTGGGGATTACATAAGCTTACATTCCCATTTCCCCTACTTAGAATCAGTAAGTTCAGGGTTTAGGGGTCGGGTGTTTTGTTATCTAGGGTTTTGAGGGGGAGGCTTTTGAGTTTGGCTGTTCAAGGGCAGGAATTTCGAGCTTTAGGCCATAGAGGGTTGGGTTCCGCATTTCAAAACTGGCTGGGGGATTTGGAGTCTGAGTGGTAGTTTCCCTAGATAGGGGGACCCCAATATAGACCCTACTATACTATAGCCCTCATTATGGTGACCCCCCAAAAAAGGTACGCCGAATTTTGGGAAACCCCCCCAAAGCAGGGCGTCCCTTGCAGCAGGGATGTGTTGAACTCGGCAGGATTTGGGCTTGCGGTTTTCAAGGTGAACCCTTGGATGAGGCTTAGGGTGATATGTTGCGGCTTCAAACTCTCAGGCCCCAAACCGAAAGCCCAATTCATTCTTACTATTGCTGTTACTACTACTATTATTATTCTTATTACTAGTATTACTACTATTATCAGTACCATTATGAGTACAAACTCTCATACAAGGATTGAAAGCTGCTGTCTGAACCCTTGACGACTACATGGACTCTGCAGCTGGAACCCTTCAGCCTACCTTTCCAAAGTGCTCTCAACAATAGGGTTTGGGGTTATCAAGACTTCATGGAAATTGCGGTTCTTCTCAAGCATCTTGCTCGTAGGTACTATGGAATGAGGTCTTTTACATTACTCCCATACACCCTAAACCCTGAACCCTAAACCCCAAACTTTATACTATAGTAGTTTCCATTTTCTTTTCCATTATGCCC